TTCTGTCTTTGAGGTCCATTGCTCGTATCTGGTGGCTGCACCACGTAACCATTGTTGAAGTTAGACAGCATCTCTTCGATGGAGGCAGCCACTCGCTCGAGGAGCTCGTCCTGCTGTGTCATCTGCGGTGGCTTGGACATGTACCGCACATCGTCTTCCATGTCGGGCTTTGTTCGCGGTTGCTGGAGAGGACTGGACAACCTACACCAAGGAGAAGACATGAGAAAGCTGGTGAAACGGCTTCAGTCTGTTCTTCTCTACTCTCTGGTTCAGATTTTTGAGATACAGAGTGTCCCTGGTTGGAGACCCTGGAAGTCATGACTCAGAACCGACGTCATTGGCGGACATGTATTTCGGTGTTTTTCGATGATTTCTCTATCTTTCCCTAATAAAACCAACGTTTATAAACCTCAAAAACTGTCAGTGAAAAACTACTGAAAAATGCTACATGTTCTTTTTTCTTATTTGTGTCCTGTTTTTTTTATTCTGTCATGATTCTGATGGCACAATATCTGTACCACAGATTGTGATCAATATGTATCGGTGCAGCGTCCATCTCGTCAACTTTCCTCTGAAGTCTCTGGAGGGCCTAATCCATTCCAACGGTTTGTAATCTGTTATGCGTGAAACCGCTGACCCAGCAAGTTTGGCCGCTGCTTGTCCAGAACGAAAACAATTGCCAGACATTCCTCCTCAACAGTTGAATACTTGCGTTCCGATAGTGTCAAAATCCTGCCGACGTATTCGATCGTCCCCTGTTTCTGCTTCAGCACGACACCGATTCCGACGTCGCTTGCGTCTGTAGCAACTGTGAACGGTGATCAACAATTTCATCGCTAGTTCCTGTCTCCCCATTTCTTTCTGAATGTCCTCAAACACTCACTGAGCTTCTGCCGTCCCATTAAATGTTTTCCCTTCTTTTAACAGCTTGTGCAATATCGATGTCAAACTGTTAAAATTCCTGACGAATTTACCGTGACATCTGGCGTGGCCCAACAATGCCCGAGGACTGCGTTTTGAGGTTGGAACTGGGCTGCCTTTAATTGCCAATATTTTCTCCGGCAACGGCTTGAGTTCACTCTGACCCACGTTGTGACCAAGCAGTATCACGCACGTTTTTCCGATTTGCGATTTAGGTCCATTTATCCGCAATCCCAACTGCTGAACTTTTGCAACGTTGCTTCTAGATGACGGCAATGTTCTATATATGACTCACTATATACCGCGATGTCGTATCCATGCACGGCCACATTCTTCAGAGAATGTGGCCGTGTATGGATACGACAGGTGCAGCATCGGACACTGGAAGGTGAGTGGAGCCCCATGCAATCCAAACGACATTCTTTTAAATCGATACTGCTTACCGCCGACAGTAAACTCCGTCTTCTCCCGGTCCTTTTGTTTGATCGCCAGCAAACCAGATCCGGTTTCGTGAATACTCTTGACTTCTGCAGTCTGTCGAAACTATCTGCCACTGATGCCACCGGGACAAAAGGACAGCGAGATTTCCTTCAGCCTTCTGAAGTCCACGCAAAAACGATACTTCCCGTTAGCCTTTCTCACCAAAATAACCGGGGTTATAGGGGCTGTGAGCCTGTTCGATTACACCTACATCCAACATCTGCACCTGCCTTCTAACCTAAGCCACCAGGTGTGTTGGTAAGTTTTGGGTCCATGCGGCCGATAGGGCTGATGCGGTAGCGGATTTGTGTGTTCGATGCGGTCACAAAACCCGTAAGGGCTACTATCGTCCTAGAATAGGATGTCGTACTTTCCTACACTCGTGTGTAAAACTGCCACGATCGAGTATACCTGTGCGGATCCTTCTCTGCTAGCAAGTGGTACAGCTCCGTATTCTCGCATCAGCTTTCCTCCTTTCAGGCCGATGATGGCGTCGCTGAATGTCTGCACTCAGGATGGTTGGTTTTCTCTCTGGTGACACGACGAAGAGATAGTTGGACTTCCGACCGCTGATACCAACCACGTGTTCCGCCATACCAAATATGCGTTTATCATAAACACCAACCGCTTTCACCACCATGGAACACGGCTGATTTTTCACTCCATCTCTGTGATTGATTAGTGAAACCGTGGCCCCTGTATCATTCAGACACCTCTGTTTTCCCACTCACTTGCACCATCGCTGTAATCGCATTTTTGTTCATTGCCCCAAGTATACACACTCCAACTAGAGTACAATGCGGTTTGCAACTTTTATTTGGTACAAATGGTGCACCCCGCTTTGACGGACATTTCCTCCTCCAGGTTCCCACAACAGAAGCATCGTTTTTTTGACCGTGTCTGTTGACAGGGAATTCGAAGTGCACAGATGTCTTGCGTAATCTGCTCCAGCCTCTATCCTGTTCAATCGCTCCTTTTCTTCTTGGTCTTCCGTTCTCAATGCAGTGACTTCCTCGTTTGCATACTCTTGACACTCGAGCGAGCTCCGCCACACGCGTTTCTCCTTGTGTAGCGTTCACAATCCGGAGCCGATCGCCCATCACCGGAGGTAGACCGTCCAGAAACTGCTCCACTAACAGCTGCTGTCTTGGCGCGTCGTCCAAATTAGGCAGCTCGGCCCAGCAAGTCTGTGAGTTGGACAAGGAAGACGAACGGGTCCGCTCCCACTCCAAGCCTGGCCGCTTGGAATCGCCACATTGCATCGTAGCGGTCGTCTGGGCTGGGCGCCTCGTTCGCGGCTGTCAACTCCAATTTCACTGGACCCACTCGCGCCGCCTCCAGAATCTTCGCTCTGCTTTTGAGGAGACACCTCAAGTCGGCTACACCTGCTCTAGTGCCTCCACTCCGACTACATTTGCGATGTCCTCGAGGAGTCTCCGTACGTCGCCCTCCTCAAATGTCTCCGTCCAAGGAACCATGTTCCACCTCTTGCCGTTCGCAACATGAAATGTCGAGGACGCGACGCGTTGCAGACGAGTTATGTGCTGAAGAACCAATGTCTAAGTATTATACAGTTCGGGCTTGGACACTCAGGCCTAATTTGCGCACGCCCCTCTTGGTATCTTCCCAACTCGCCTTCCTGCTGCGCCTCATCACTCACAACGTATCGGTGGTGGTAGATTTCTCCACTACTCATCCTTCGTCCGCGGCGATCCACGATTTCCCTGATTTCTTTGCGCCTCCTCGTTTCACACATACCACTCATTAGTAGTGCGTCGCAATAATATACTTTCTAGTAGACAGTGTAAGCTCAAGTTTGCAAGTCACAGGAGTGAATTCAATTTTACGGGGTGGTGTTTTAGGATGGAGCATTGCCTGACTTTTATCCATTGTGCTTATCATCAAAAGCTATTCAGGTCTCAATCTGTACCAGCACACTTTCAAACGGGCCGCAATTTAATCCTTCTTTCTAATGTAGCCCCTTCTCTCTTGGGGTGTCGTTTTCTAACTATCCAGAACTTTATGGAGTAGACCTTTGACAGCGATCTTCATTTCCATTCGATTTTTCCTTCGATGTTTTCTCTTTCGTCAACTTCACCAACTGTGTCCCACCACTGTCTGAAGCACATTGCTATTCGTTCCACCGAAGGTTATGCGACGCTTATTTGCATGTTGATTCTTTTCGATTACTGATCATCAGATTGGTCTATGTGCAGCGTGAAAACTGCTAACCTAAACGGAATCAGCTCCTTTGCGACAAGAAAAACTGGCTTATTAGGTGATCGCCTATGTTATTACTTTCTGGTCCTCTATGATCATCTGTCTTTTGTGCCTATCATCTCACGGGCATTGGCTGGCTGGTTTATTCTGCAAATTCCATCTGTTTCGGTACGTACCTTACTTTACAAATGACGCTCGTCAGAATATCTTATCAATCTGCAGGAACTTAATTGGCACGAAGTTGTTCTTTGGGGCATCCGGTATCAACGACAAGCATTAGATTCGACCAGAAGTGGTCTTGCTTATCTGCGAATATCTCTTGATTTCGCGTGGTTCATTCTTCCTCGTATCCTTTGTTCAGCTCCACTTACGAATTTCTTCTTGATACGCCTATACCTGAGAATTCCAAGCGCTGGCGCATGCTCTGGGCGCTCAAACACTGCTTTTACCCTTGGTCCCAAGAGGTTACCACGCGCCTGTTCTCTTCTATCATCAGAACAATGCTAGAGTACAGCTCACTAGCCTATTGCCCGCTCACTTGGGGCAAGGTGCAAAGAATTGAGCGGTTACATCATGTGGCCACAAGTCTCATCCCCTATTTCCGAGGTAGACTGGTGCAATAGACTAAGCTTGTACACCCTGTCTTGTCGTCGAATGCAGCTTGATCTCATCATGATGCACCGAATATTACATCTGGATGATTACCTCATGTTGATGCCGCTGCTTCATCTGTGCACATCAAGCAACACACGAGGACACCGCTACATGCTTGTCTTACCAGATTTGAAGCGGGTCGCTCACTAACCCTGCTTCGCGCGGAGAGTGGTGAATATTTGGAACAACCTGCCTGCAGACATAGTCGAAGCAAAGTCGGTGCCGGAGTTTAAGCAACTCCTGGACTTGCACTTTGCCGACTTGAGATTTCGAGAACAATCACCATCATAATAGGTAGATTTGCTTAAAAGATATTAGATGTAACTATACAGAGGCATCTCTAACCGCTGTATTTTCTCAGTATTCGCTAAAGACGTTGGTTGGATCCCTAGCTGACCGGTTCAACTCTGATGTACCCGTTCCTCCCATAGTACTGGCTCTTGAGACAATGTTACTTACTCTTAGCACACTACAGACCCCTCACTTGCAACTGAAGGTTTTAGGTTTACGCGTTTGTAATTCTAGTCATCAGCTGATTTATCTTTGGCTTCCCCACCTCTGAGTGCTCGATTGTCTCAGCGCCTCTCTGCTCTCCACAATGCTTGCACATTAGGCGGTCACGGTCGCCTAACCTTTCCTTCGCTGATTTATACGCAGTCTAGCTTGGTTCCGTCGTCACTGCACGACCACATTCACCTACGCGCTTCTCCACTCCTTTTTCTCAGGGCATTACTTATCGTGACTTTGCCGACTTCAACCTACTGCTGCGTTCCATCTCCGATGTGGATATCGCTCTCTCTTTCCATCACATGATCGGGGCCCCTATTGACCAGGCCACATTGAAACGTGTGGCTACTGCTGTGGCGAATGTGGACCTCTCCCCTCACGTCATTGATGTGGTGTTTACTCTGTTTGATGAAAACAGTGAGTTTTTCCTTTTCGTGCTTTTAATGTTGCTTCGCTTCAGTTCCTTATGAATTTCCGCATCTTACACCGAACCGATGACAAAAGCCGGTTGATTCTCCTGTACTACCTTATCTACTACGCGCTTTTAAACTGTACAGATTAGTAGTCAGCCGGAAGTCAACGTGTTCCGCCTCCAGTGTTTAAGGCGCATCATCATCCGTTCGAATTTCCTGTCTCAGATTTTGCACACCATTTAGTCATTGCGATGTTTGTAAGTGGCAAAATTGGATATTAGTTTTTCGCTCAGGATCACCACAACTGTCGGCTGCTACCTCTGTCAAACCCGGATTACTTTCTGTCTATCCACCCCTTCATATGTCCTGCGAATCACTCTTCTGTCCCTTTCTTCGTTTTTATCTTCCCGTTGATTCACTGCAACCGCATTTGTCACACCTGCCAAATCTAGCTTACATTCTATTTGTACACACGGTCGTGTACCCCCTATCCCTCTTATCGCCATCAGCCTCCGTGAATTCACTTGCTTGCGATATGGGAGTACCTGTTACGCTCGGCTTGTACTGTTGTTATCCGCCTATTTTGCACGCATCTGCTTAATAATTGCAGTACGATATACACACCTTTATATGTGCTTAGGTGGTGCTATCTAAACGCCAGCGAATAAAACTGTTTATTTAGTTATACTTCGTGCGCCGACTCTAGCTTATGTGATCTGTATGTGCACTCACAAGCATGGCGATTTACGCCCTGGTTGTTTACTGTTTGAAAACTCGGTTGTTTCCGTTCTAGGCATATATTGTTACGGTTTGTTCTGTTTATTGGAAGAGTACCGTGGTCCAATTTCGGCTCCGCTTTGGTTTAACATGGAGTTCTACGCGTTGCTTAAAGTATAATGGAAATTTGTCACTTGCAACGTTTGTAACAAGCCGTTCGCTTCCCTATTGGTTACCCGCAGTATGTTATCTGCAGATGTCTCAAATTCCGGCACTGTCACGCTATAATCCTTTTAGACATCTTAATCCCTAATGGTCTGCTGCTTTTCACGCCATCTTCCTATTAATCGAAACCCGCAACAATCGTAATGGACCAGATCTGGTCTAACTGCTTGTGGTTACTGATTGGAGTGTCATTTTGAAGCACGCGTTGTGTGTGTGAATGGATTTTGACGCACAATTTCAATGTAGACCGCGATTCGCATTGAAGTGAAATTTGGCTACTTCGATCGCTCAGACTGTAACTGATGGAGCATCTGGAACTTGGATGCTGCTCGCAATGCGGTGTTTCCGGTTTGTCGTTACGTCATCTGGGGGAAAGTATATAATCGATACTTTCCGGAAACTTCTTCGATTTCAATGTCATGCTCTTTGAACTAAATCAACATTTTGCTGAATCATTTCCCTTTATCATTATGTGGAGGTTTTCCCTGCAGCTGATGTTAATAGGTTTCACGATTCCGAAATAATTCAGGCAAATTTTACCCTCTTGGACGTTTCCGCACGTGAATCGGAGAATATCACTCCTCTTCAGCAGGGCACTGGTTGTTTTCTATCGTCTTGTCAATTTCGCATCAGCGTTAGTTACTCTTGTTAGCTATACCCGGATGTGTCACATTGTTCCAGGTATCTTCTCTCAGCACTCAGTCAAGTCGCCCATTTTTCGCGTGCCCGAGGGCTGTGAAATTGCTCTAACCGGATCGTATCTTTGTCAAAACAATGATTTCGCAGACATAGTTGGTTCTTAAGGTTTTTCCGTTCACCCATGGCCGCTTAAAATCTTTGCTGTCCAATCAGCTTTGACTGACTACTTCCAGTGGTTTGGAAAATCCTTCAGTTCACTAACTTTCATCTTTTAATAAACACGAGTTGAAATTCGTCTAACAGACGCTTGCTAACATTAATTCTTTCTTCCGTTGTTACGACTTTAGGTACTCACTAACCCAGCCAGACCTTCGTTCCTTTCTTGTCCGTTTATCTGCTTCCAGATGACTTGATGCTTCGATTGACGGACTGTTTTCTATCTTTGAGCATCAAACTCCTACCTCACTTACGTGTCAGCTCAGCATAGTGGGGCGTTCGACTAACAGCACTGGTTTTCAGCTAATTTTACATACAGCGCACTCTAGCCATTTGAACGATACCCGATTATCATGTTTTTTCAACAAACCGCGTAATCTGCGATACTGCATCTTTAATGGATTGTGTAGCACTCCTTACTCTCATTGCACACAAATCCAAACCCTATTTGATGCAGGTGCGGGTTGGATAGTTTACACGGAATAAATTAACCTGGGGTTGGTCTGGTTAAAGACAGTTGCAACCCACCTTACCCACGTTTCCATTCACGTATCGAGAGTTGTTCAGCACTCTCTTTCTATATCACTCGATTTCTTCATGTTCGCGTCGCTAACTTTTTGAATACTCACTGTCATATCACGTCTCCGCAATATTTTTCACATTGCCAGCACCACCAAATCACCTGACATTCGCTCACATTCTACACTATCCTCGTTGATGTTGTCCAGCGTTATCCGCCAACGTTCTCTTTAACTTGTATGCCTTACGACCAGCTTCGGCTCCTCCACTATCGGCCTGCTTTTTTGCTTAGTCCCACTGTCAACGAGTAAATTACAAATGAGTCTTATCTGCAAGCATTACCAGCCCGTAATGAGTCGATTAATGCACCTTGGATCGTCTATATCACAGCTTCCCACACAGAACTCCACTGAGTAATCGCACTGGTCGATCAGCATAATAACTCCGAAACCAAAGGGTTCTGGTATTACTCCTCTCCAACACTGACATCCCACGGGCAGTTTTGTCCTCTTTCGGACTCATCAGGTAAAGAGTGGAACTCGGAGCCTAATAGTTGATGGCTGACAACTTGATCACTATGCCCTTGATATTTTTAACAGCACTTGGCACAGCCGTTAGAAATTCAAAGTTTAGTCCTGGATTATCCGCCATGTGGTTGGATTGTGACATGCAATCCCTATTCAAACCTCTATTCACTTTGAAGTAGATCTCGGTCGTGCCGATCATCGGGACTGCATCCGGGATGGAGGGTTTCAGTGTTGCCCATTATCCACACTGCCACCCCATGACCGGTTTCGTCCTGATTTGCACTCATCAGGTCTGAGCTGGGTTTATTATTCGTCGTCGTGGAATCCATCATGGATTGATCCCTTGAGAAATCTCGCAGGGCTTTCCAACCATCATTTAAGCCAGCCGACGGTCAGCACCGTCAATGCAGCAAGGGAGCAAATGCTTGGCAGATCCCGTTTCATTGTTGGGGAGGGGGGAAATTACGTGACAAGAAAACAGCATCCATACTACAATGCACATGTTGCTTCATTGACTAGGTTTGTAGTGGCACAAAAAATAATATTCCTGACTGCCTGATTAATACACCGTTTGTTCTGTTTTAAAGTCACCATACAATGAACACTGCTCATATGACGTTATAGAAATATTTTAGTATATCCTCAGGTCTTTTTCTGAGCTGTGCTAAGATGAGGGTGGTATTGACTGCTTGCACTCGGGAGAAGTTCCAGGGATGTGTCACTCGAACGAAGAAAATATTTCGTCGACATTCCATTCGGCTGTACTGCTTAGCCAGCTTAAACTGCTTGCCCCTTAGGAATGTGTTTAGGCTACTCAAATTTGGCTTTGGCAAGGGCAAGGCATCAGCAGGACACCGGTATGCAGTGCCGATACTTCGCTGCCGCGCAACCACCAACAGTCGCACGTGGGCTAGGGATACTACAAGGGTCGCCCGTTCCCTAAGCAGGCTCGAACCCGCGCCCTCGGATTACATAGCAGTCATGTGATCCCTAAAGCTACGAGCCGGCTTTGGAGTATCCGCGGTGGGGTTGCGTTGCGACACGCAATCTTTATTAGGACCTCGGCTTGCTTTGAAGTAGACCTCGGTCATCCCCATCATCAGGTACTCCAACTTTGAATTCCTTACTGCTGTGCCAAACGTTACTTACAGATCTCAGTGGTTTAGTGATCAGGGTGTCAGTCGTTAACCACTAGACGCTAAGTTCCACTCTAAGTCTAGGCTTTTTTTACCTGATGAGTCCAAACGAGGACGAAACCGGTCTTCTGGTGACCGTGTTGGGCCAGAACAATACCGAAATTCTCTGCACTCCGGATAGGGTCCTTGTGATCATAGCGACCGCGGTCTACATCAAAGTGAATTGAGGTCTCAAGCGAGATTGTATGTCGTAATCCGGCCACACGGCGGGTACTCTAAACCCAACTTTTTATGACTATGAAGCTTTTAATGTAGTATTTTAAATGCAAGGACCCCAATGACTTGAAGGTCTTCCAGGTGCTTATAGGCACTACTAGTCCCAATGTATGTGCGCTGTGTCACCCAGCGGTCTTTGGACTGGCATTAAAAGCCACGTAATTTTGACGCATTAGTTTCACACCCTACCGACGCTCCGTTGCCACACCACTACCATCGGTTACATGCGGCCTAGGATACTGCGAAATGTGCCGCACCTACACAGATTCAAACTAGTAACCCCTGAATTGCACGCCACGCGCGTGATCCGTCTCTGGAATTGTTCCAGGTTCAATATCTGCTAGCAAGCCATTCACTATTACGCACTCAGGATGCCACGTTGGTTGATTGCGAAACGCCTTCAGCTCAGCTAGGAGAACCAAGCAACACTCCAACTGCCAATGTAAGCTACACGTGTACCGATTTATTGCAGCCACTTCACCAGTGCTCGGACTAAGTCCTTTTGAACTTCAGGATGACTAGTCATAACAGTGTCGATCCAACGCCCATAACAGACAACTTCTCACTTCCCCACTTATTTTTCCCCGCTACTGCACTTGATGGATAATGTCCTGATTGGCAACTCCATGACATGGAGGTGGTCCTTGGGATCGTAATACTGGAGCCTGTGACTTTCACTCCATCTGCTACTCCCCACATTTCCCGTTCCAGGGGATGATAGCAGTTGTTCGCAATTCCTTTTAAGTATTTGGATTAACTTCTGGATTGCATGCATTTTCTATCACATTTATCCATAGCTTTCTTCATTTGTATCATGTTGCCCCGAACCTACTCGCTGCATGCGGTTTGACTGGATGAACCGAACCGCGTGGGTGTTGTTATGCTTTGGTGGCTTATTCCTTTCCTTCACATGCATAAAGCTAAACTCCGTAGTTGTGAGTTTGATGCCATTGGACCCAGCCTCTAATCATCCGGCTGCAGTCGCGGAACCATCTCGAAACTTCAGAATCCTAATCCACTTCCCGTTTGTGGTTGTGCTTTTGTTTTCCCGTTTTTTAGAATAATTAGTCACATGGCCGTTACTACTACCCAATCTAATACGCTGGTATTTTATCTGCTACCTATGTATCCATTTCACATTTCTTCCAGACGACGGACATCTCAGTTACCGTGAATTTGTTGGCGTAATGCGAAACCGTCTAGTTCGCGGTCTGGACAAACCTATGGACACCGGATTTGTCCGCTTCGTGAATTCCCTCTATGTCTGTACCAAGGAGCAGTTCCGTCATTCCCGCTCCCAAAGCATTTAAACTTGCTGAGCGGCACGTTGTTGGCAATTCACTAACCGTCCCCTTTTTCACGTCCCCACTTTGCGGTAGCCTTTTTCATTTTACTTTTCTCGTCTTGTCCGTCCCTGCAGTCCATCACGTGATAGGCTATGTAATAAACCGTTATAATGACATCTCTTCCTTTTCTGTCCCCCACAAGCCACTGTATCTACTCTTGATGTCTGTTTTTAGTCTCTCTGCTATCGTATCTTATTTACTTCGTCCGTGATGACCTTTTGGTTCCATAATTCCCTACTCTCAGATCTTTGTTCGCTTGGACTCGGCACTTCTCCTAATCCATTGCATTCTCTATCATAAAGAGTAACATCACCGAGGTTCTGTTCGCTTCGACGTCACTATTTTTATCGACCTTATGCTGCACTATTTTACTTGGACAATATTGATTTGCCTGCACCTTGCATGGAGCGTTTACGGCGACACTGCAAATGCCATCTGAACTGCAACGCACACCAGCCTGAGCGATCCGACTTGTGGACGTTTCACATAGACACCAACTGCCGCACCCCTACACTTGTGTTGCTAACCCAATTCGGACAGTGTTCACAGTTGGTTGGTCAATACTGCGACTAAACATGGGTTATCATCTCTTTCTCACCATTGGACGCATCGAATGCAGTTCAACCCCATAGTTTGATCAGCAAAATTTGGCTCCTTAGCTAGGAATAAGTCTAGTACTAGTCGATGCCACGCCTCTCTTCCGGTTGGGTGCATCGATACACTACAACCTGCTGCACCTATTGTGATCAAAACAGTCCTTCGGATGAGTTCTCGTTGCGGATTTCTTGTACTACTGTTTCTCCTTACTTCCCCTGCATATTAGTCTGCAGTTATAGCTGAACTTAGAGTCAGTCTCTCATACGTGACTGAAGTAACAGATGCTGTTATGCGGTCGTTCTGTTCCTTTCCGGTAGCTGTTCGTCGTATTCCATCAGCATCCGTGCGGGGTCGTCGTTTCATTTAGCTTATGTTGTTCTGTGGATTAATATCACCCATTCAACGTTGATCTTGAAAATTGTTAGTTAACACATGAATGTGTGCACCCGACGAAAGTAGAACACTAACACTGTACTGGGGTTTCGCTGCTGTGCGACCGTGAACGGCTGTACACTGACTGGAATGCTGTAACCTGCTGAAACCTAAGTAGGAGCAGGGCTGCAACCGATGGCACTAAGGTTCCAGATCAGCACTGGGACTTGTCGTCAGTAGGCATTCTCCTGATAGATCAATTCTCAGTTAACATACTGACAACAGACAAGCAAAGGGCTCATACATTAAACGCATCGTTCGCCCGCCAGATGATCGACAAATATGCTCCGTGGTCATCTCAATCCTTCGGGATCACTGGTGTAAGAGGGCGGACGCGGAGCCAAGTTACAGCAGTTTATAGCGTGCACTTCAATGGAATTGAATCGCCTAACATGTGGACTGACCCAACATCAGCATTCATCTATCAAGTTGTTGGCGTTCCGCAAATTCGCGGTTGATGCTTTTTACCACCGACGCGGCTGATGCACTGTGAAGCAGGTGTCATATGTTCCCACCTATTACACATAATCACAGTCCACCCTGTCATATTTTATCAATCCGGATTCTAAACGATGCGTTACGTTTGTCGCAGGAATTTAGCTCCACTTATGGGCACTCTCCCAATACGCCGCGCTATTCGTGCTCGCTTCGGACGCTGTTCATTGTGATCGTGATCGATCTAATTTTTCTGTCACTCCATATTCCGTCCAACGTAACCACTCACGCCAGTTGAGCTTTGCAAATTTTCCTCATTTTGATCCTCAGTCAGGGTCCGTGTATTCCTGGTGTTGATCATCTGATGTGATGTTTTCCGGTCGATATTGTGTTTACGGTTGATTAGTTGGCGACACCCTGCCCTGTAAGCATGCATTTTCCATTTCAGCTTTGATGGCTCCGCGTACTCAACATTTGCAAGATCAGCGGAAGCTATCTTCAGGCAGCAACACCGCGTCATTAACACTGGTGTTAGAAGACTTTGAATTGTTTGAAGCCGAGACCGCTGAATTGACGATCGAGGAGGCAGATGACTTTGCTGCTTCGCTCTTGCTCAGTAACGACGGCACTGCTCCTGTCTCAAATACGACCGTTGCTTCTGGTCCCGATTTGAACACTCTGATCACTCGCGATTGCCATACTCTCATCCACTCGGCGCATAGTCTAGCCACTACTTCCGTTGTGGTACCCACTCAGCATGCACAGACAATAGAGTATAAAATGCTGACTATGACAAGTCAGAATATGCCTACAGATTCTTACTTCAAAACCATTATTCCTGTTTCTCATTGCAACGGCGCTCGATTTTCTTCAAACCCAATGGACGACTGGGCACATACGTTACCAGCACATATCCTTACTGTTTCTTCCCAATCGGCTTTCCATCGGTAAGCAAGATTTGATCGACAGTCACATTATCTTTTCTCACTTTTTCAATTTCTTAACTCTGACTGTTTTCGATAATTCCAGTCCTTTGTCCTCGTGGCCGCAGCACATTTTGGCATTCACTGATGCTCCGGCTCTAGTACGAGCTGTTGCGGCTGACTTGGAGTCGTACAGCACACATGTTCTTCGCAACGGGTCCACTGAATCGCCTAGCATTGTCCAAGTCGCTCCTTGTGATAGAACTTCTGAGTGGACCACTTGCCAGTTGACTTGCTGTCAAGCCGAAGTTGAACTGCTGGAAGTCAACGCACCTCACCAACAAGCCTTCGCTGTTATTTCCGACGCACCCACTAACGAATTCCACGTGTCCCGGGTGAGCGACAGCTTTCCTCATGACTGGTTTTTAAAACTGTCCAATAAGGCTGTTGCCTTGGGAACTGCGTCATGTATTCCACGTCGATTTTCTTTAAATAACTTACTCCCTATCTATTCGTTTGTTGACTGTCCTCTTGGACACTGGCCCAAAGCCTTGCCCTATCCGTAACTAGGTACCCTTTCCAACATGTCGAAATCTAGAGCTCGGTGGCACCCGCACTCATCTCATTAATTACACTCACCAGCCTTTGCATTCGGCTCCCTGTCAGTCATTTTCAACTTGATCGCATGGCCAATTCTTTCTCTTTTTACCTCACCTCTGTTATATGTTGCAATCTTCTCTTCACTATTCAAGGCAACCAAATCCATCACTTATCGGGTTCCAATCATTGTTATATACCTGAGCTCTACTGCTCTCCAAATCTCTCCAGCTGGTTTGTCAACCGGCCTTTTAGTTTTGCACTGAACGTTTTTCATATCTATGCTCTATCCATGCCGTTAGAATCGTCTCACATCTGCTGATCACCTCCTCTGATATCTGTTACTCATCGGCTTTGCGCTTCAGTTAGGCGAGGCCCCAGAGTGTCCAAGTGACACCATAAGGATTAAGAAACACAAACTAGCCAATCAGCTGGTGCCACTGTTCCTACCACTTTACACACGAAGAACACATGCGGGACACCGCTGTTTCGTAGGGTACCAGTGAATCCAGACTATCGGAAATTTTTACTGCCAGCAAAATCCTCCTTGCGGCACCTTCACTACTAACTTCGCCTACCAGACTCAGGTATCAAGCGGTGAATGAAGATGGTTGTCACAAATATTTGCTGTCCGGTATCCGCTGTATGTTCCCCTATTCACTGCTATGCCCATACTTTCGTCTTCCATGACCATGTGCTTGCATGAGTTTGCGACGCGAAAGAGCATGAACGCCTCATCAACGACCTGCAACACTTCATGCTCATCCGAAACTGGCTTCTTTACTTTACTGCGGCTAACTCCTGCGACAGGATGAGCCGTCTTCATGAATGTTGCGGATTGCAGCTGCTGAAACGCGGCGGTCAGCGGCAAGCTCCAAGCAGATACTGATCTGTTGATTCCTCCAGTGACGAGCACCATGCACCATGCCAGATGATGGACATCCGGTTTCACTTCAGCGAGCCACGTTTTCAGTTGTCCACCACTGGGACGACACCAACTCTGGCAAGGCGATGGCAAAACCACGGTCCTAGTGAAGTCAGTGTTTGGTTTGCGGAGGACGTGACCGAACCACTGAAGTTTGCGGTGTTGGATGAGCGTTGTGAGATTCGGAAGACCGTAACAGCGCTTACGGATTTCGTCATTGGTGATACGCCCATGCCACTGCGTTTTCAAGATAAGCCTTATACACCAATGGTCGAAGACTTCCAACTTCCGGGTGTCTTCGGATCACAGCGGCCATGTTTCGCAAACATAGAGTAAAATGGCACTAATGGTTGCTGAGAATACTCGAATCTTCGTTCTCAGACTAATTCCCGTCCTTCGCCACAATGTGTTTCTCATTGGTAAGGAGGCTGTTCTAACGCTGTCAATACGATTCCGGATTTCGGATGTACTCTGACCATTGGGGAGTACAGTGGATCCAAGATACTTGAACTCAAGAACAGCTATGATGAGTTATCCATGTAAGGAGAGCGACGGGGCGGACTGGGTGGCTAATGATGAGAAGTATTTCATCTTGCTGATCTTAACTTCGAGGCCGATCATAGAGGCTGATTGATCGATCCGATTTAGCAGCGACTGTAGTGATATAACATCTTCCGCAAGGATAGCGATATTGTCAGCAAATTCTAGATCTGACTGCCAGAAGTCAGGGCTAACTTGAACACCACGATAGCCCTCAAGAGCATGATGCATAATCTAGTTGACTGCGAGGGTGAATAGCACTGGAGAAGGTAGGCAATCCTGCCGGACTCCAGTATTGATGTCGAATTCCTTTGTTTCTTCTCCATAGATCCGAATCCGGGTCTTCGTGCAACGGTAGTATGATCATATCAAGTTGACGAGTTGAACCGGCACACTACTGGCAAGCAGCATTCTCCAGTGCTTCACAGTTAACTGAGTCAAAAGCAACACGAAAATCAACGAAGCACACAAATGTGAGCTGCTGGAACTGGCAGCGGTGTTCGAGCACTCGAGGTAGAGTAAAGATCTGGTCAGTGCAGCCTCCGTCTGGACGAAAGCCACCTTGGTTATGGCGAGTTCGCAGGTTCCTCTCATTGGCAAAGCGGGAAAGCAAGATTTGTGCGGTTTTTGGCGGCCACATCGATTGGGCTAATGCGCGATAATTACTGCACATAGTTCGGTCACCTTTCTTGGATAATGACAGTAGTATTAAGGTACTCCACGGGAAAGGACAGATTTCGGTCTCCCATCTCGAGCAGAAGAGCTCGTGCGATTGGTCAAGTAGAGCTGGTAGACAAGATTTGGAGACTTTTGCTGGAATCCCGTCCGCTTCAGGAGTTTTTTCTTCGACTTCAGGTGGCGAACGATGTTTGCAATTTCTGTGGGAGATTGTGGTGAGCAATCCGTGTCATCTCCTGACTGGGTTAATGCTGAAATGGGTGCTATGGTGTGTAGTGCGCGGTTTAGGAGATTGCGGAAATACTCTACCCATCTGGGAAGGTTTCCTTCTGTATCGGGGATGCTTTGACCTTCCGAATTGCGCAATATCGACTGTGGTGAATAGCGCTTGCCGGAAGCTAAACGGACTAGACGAAAGAGATAACCGAGATTGCCAGAATTTAATGCAGCCTGCGATAACAGACCAGTAATGGTTGCGATCATTCCGTGCTGAGCGAGTTGCCTCACGTCTCAAGCGACGCTAGTCTGGGGAATTCGTGAGACATGCTTCTCACGCTTTAGCGGAGTCCTTCACATGCTCAGAGGTAGAGCCCAGGGTAGTTAAAGCGGCGCGTTGAACTGGCGATTTTAGCCTAAACCAACGAGCGTCGACAGATTCATCTTCTGCAAGTACGAGGCGTGGTGCATCTTTATTTTCTCTTTCAACCCCTCTGTACGCTCGACAGTCGACGGAGGATATCCACCGTTGGAGTACCACGTCAGCAGATGCTTCCCGGGATGCTGGATGTGAGTATTGCTTACGCACAACCGGTTAAGGTCGGCGAAACTGAGCAGTCGGTCTCCATTAGCACAGCGCTCTCCAAAGGTATATCTACCGAGTATGTGACGGGTCTGATCGCTCCTCGGCCCGTTACATACATTCCAGTCCCCAGCAATAATGGGGTTGTCGCGTTTTGAAATGTGGTTCACCACTGTCTGTAGAGTATCGTTAAATTCGTCCTTGTCCGTTTCCGCTGAGGGTAGGGTTGATGCGTAGACGGAGACTATGGACAGATTCATTGGGTGACCAACGAAGCATGCAACCGCTATTCTACCTTATACTGGCTTCCATGAAAGGAGAGCGTAGTCTGCCCGGCCACTGAGAGCCATGGCGACCACATGATTGCCAGAGTTATCTTCCGGCCCACTGTGGTAAAGCCAATATGAGGTGTCTGCACCAGGAACTTTGATTTTTCGAAAGCCATAGCCGGGTATTCGAGATTCTGACAGGCATCCTATGTCGATCTGGTAATCGTATAGTGTGCGCATCCTCAGCGTTTGGCTGCCGACATCCAACAGAGTTCTGACATTCCAGCATCAAATGAATAGTGGCTAATGGAGATTGTGGGACTCAGCTAGCTTACTTATCACTCTGGCCACTGGGTTAGCCCAGAGCGCGTCGCCTATTGGGAACGCCGTAGCATGAGAGGAATCGCGCGTAACGGACATGTCATAAAGTTTCGTGGGGATTATGGGTACATATGAGGACCCCAACCTCATCCGGCTTTTGTTCGAGGGTTCACCTCTAGCCTTTGCGCAGCCAAATGATATCTGCAACGCAGCAGGGATCTGGGAAATTGTCTTAACTTCTGGACGTTGGATCAGGTGTCGATCTCTTCCACCCAATTGTCAGGACTGACGTTGCAAGCGGGTACAAACACCGAGAATAGTATTCCCGGCTACTCTCACCTGCTTTAGCCCGCCTACCTGACGGTTGACCGAGGTGTGGCCGCTGCCGCGTGCAAGAAGCTACTTGGAGCCACAGGTGAGAGTTGGGTGACAGGTAGAGACCAAAGTTAGGCGGACTACCCCGGAGGGTAAGGCAGGTCCCCTACCAAAGGTGCTACTCCTCTCTGGCACCCCGAACATCCCAAACTGGCTTTCTGCCAATGAGTGGCCCTCTGTCACAAAGTACCACCATGATCCGTTGGTGACTACTTCCTCCGAAAAATCCCGGCTTTCTGAGACACTAGCTCATTAACTTGTTAGCCCGTTGTTTACTGGTGTACTCGGTCACCGTCCCTTCCAGTTTTCACGTCCAGCAAGTACAGTCTCATCCACGAGTTCGAGCCTAGCGTCCTGGCCTTTTACTGCCTTCGGTGGTCAATGACTTCTGCTTGAGTGATACAGCTGTACGGAGTCTCATCTTTCTAAACACAGTTTAACTGAACAACTGTGTTAGACACAAGCGCTGGAAGAGAGCTTTTCTTTATTCCTGCCATTTTTCCAAATCATTACTAAACGTAGGTCAGTCAATTTATAGTTGCACTGGCATTCGCCATAATCTCTTAATGTGGCGAGTTTGCGACGGACCGGTTTACCCATCTCCGTCACACCTGACCGAATCTTCCAGCTACATTTGGGTTAGCTGACATCCGCCACCTCTAGCCAATGAGTTGAGTGCACTTTATCTCTCCCTGTCAGACAGAAGTGGGGCTAAAACACCGCCTTATTGTACAGAATGGTTTCATCGAACAATGGACCTCCTCTGTATATACCCTATGATGGTTAGCATGTTTGAGCTTTCCTTCCGTACGACGGAAATGATTAAGACTGAAACGACTCATTCTATCCTCTGCATTATTACGATCAAACTACGACTTTCAACAGTTCACTAGGAGAGGATGGAACTTATCTCACATTTGAACTGTGGTCGTGAACAGTGTAGCTACCGAACTGTGTCCGACTTCGCACGGGAATATTTACACACAGGAGAAGAGTAGTGTTTTAGTGCGGCGATATGAATTTAATTATGCTGGAATGATTAATACACCGGAAAAAGCACGGTCGTACTAGAATCTAAGTGGGCCAACAGTGTGGCCTTTATCGAGAATACATGTAACCCGGGTTGCGGATGAAGTGTTCGGTTTTTCTCCCCAAAGTTGCACTAACGATCTTATCCTGCCTTGCGACAGAACGTTTGCAGCCGAAATACCTGACTTGGCGAACAGCAGAATTAACAATATTTTTTTACGAAGGGTATCGTCCCATACCTCACTGTACAACGCAACGTCGACCATAAGCTCTTCCTGTCTGCATTTGTCTAGACCTTGCACATTCCGTGGAGCGACAACGCATGCAGACTTAAATGGACGCGAGTTGTGTCTTGATACTTCTGCATGCCCCAAGTTCATGTAAATGATAAAAAACAGTCGGTTCGACACCATCCGTGATTTCATTTCATATACTATGCTCACTTCGTACAACCGGTTCTGGTTCGTGAGACAAGAACGAACATGAGCGTTAAATGCAATGGGTTAGTAGATCTGACTATCTATTCCTTCGAGCAGTACGTTTGGTCTATTCAAGATTAGATTGGGGGAGGTGTGGTGATCACTGTTGCTGGTCTAAACGCTTTGTGAGTAGGGCAGGCGCCTGGGATTAGACAAATGTCTTTTGTGCACCTAGGCCATCGTCTTGAAACGGAATAACGATTGCTGTCGCTCTCAATGCCAGTCAGCGTCTCACTAATCATGTGGTGTTCGGGTGTAAGGCAGAGTATGTGAACTTGTGAGCTGCGTGCCCGCCCACTTAGTGCCCGCCGTCCCACTGCGTTTGGTATGTTCGCTGCTCCGTAGTTATTTCTGCTTCATTTTTCGAACGATATGGGAATTCTCGATTGCGTTGTCATTTTCCACCCTCTGGTGCTTTTGGCCCGTTAGTGAGGTTAGTTAGTTAGTGTTTATGTTTCGGTTAATAATCAACTTATCTGGTAGAACGATCCCGGCTCCCCTATCCAACTAAACAAAAGTAATTTCTCACTTCCCCTCTATTCATTGAGAGCTTATCCGTGTTTTTCAAAAACTACCTAATGCTTGGCTATAGGTAGATTGTTGACATATCACTTTGGACTGCTCAGCTGTTGGTCCTGTTCACAGCGTGTGCACACATACTTGGGAGCAAATACTTTCAAGTTACATCTGTGAATCACACTGTTTTGCATTATTGTGGGTAACAGTTCCGAATCGAATGAAAGGGTCTCGTGTGGATCGATATCTGGCCGCAATGATAAAAATGGTGCATCAATTTTTCAGTGCCCGTTGGAAATAGGTTATGTGACTTACTTGTCTCGATCCATTACCGCACTGCAGCTACTCGAGCGTTTTGCCGAACGCATAACTCGAGCTATTTATATTCCTCTATGGGACGTTTCTGCAGTGCACAGAAGTAAACACGCCGGTTAAGCTCGCATATCCAACAAACGACGGTAGTCTGTTCATTCAATGTGACATTCCATGAAAGTATCGGTTGGACACGAAAGGAGTACTCACTACCCAAAAACTTACCAGTGCCACGACCATGTGGTACAGTCCAATCCGCTTTGGGGACCACCTGTCTATGGCGACCAGCCAAAAACATCCCCAACATTTTCTCCTATTAGTGATATCCCTATGCATGAACCTGCCCATGGTGATCACCCGTCCAAGGCGACCACTTTTTGTCCGTCCCTTGAGTGGTCACCTTGGTCAGGTTTGACTGTACTATGCGGCCGTTTCACGCGTCAGGTTGGCAGTCATAGGTCAGTAGTCTAAAGACGTAGAACTGTTCTTGTCGAGGAAGGTATTTTAAAGAAAACTACTATGCAGCCGTCCGAATGAGCTCGACTTGGCTCCACAGGTGAGTGAAGAACATAGTGCCTACTACAGTGTTATCACATCAAGTGGATTCATATCACTAAATCACACATTATGTCATCTACCGGATGCCCGGACACCACACATGAGTGTTCAGAAGCTGACCGTCAGTGGCAGCGAAAGTGATCATTTTTCGCCCCCTAAATGCGAATCTGTATGCACAGAGGATATTTGTCTGAGCCCTTCACCGACCACGCTGACGTCACGACTAGCGACGGTAAATGTAATCTTACTGAACATTGATCAGATCATCATACTGTTCAAATGCTGGAACACCTGGATCCACTGGTTTGCTGCATTGAACGCTCTTGCTGTCTCTTTAGTCCCACCTACGAACCGAATAAAGAACTAGTGAGAGTATGCTTTTTCGAGAACTCTACTCTGCAGGATCTGACAGGAACATTTATTCTGCGTAAACAGCGTATTCTGATTTAATGTTACGTTGTCCTGTTTGTGTATTGTCTATTCCAAGAGTGGCCTAAAGTCGACTACCCACTCACGTTCCCAAACCCTGGCTTTTGTCTCAACTATCTAATAAATCGCTATTATAGTAATCTCAGGCCTCGATGTTGCACAAATGCTTATCGCCCATTCAAAAATGTTTTTCCTTTTTCACTTATTGACCTGTGCCTCGCAAAACACTGTGTCTCGGATCATGATAAATACATGTATTACTATTGTCTTAAATGAAACTAACAATACTGTCACATGCTGATCCGTCTCTTGACTGTTTTTCATTTCCAGTCATCTGGTTGCGTGAGTTCGCAAAGTGAACTGATCAGTTCTGTTTTCTATCGCTTGCTGGTCATTGATCACTCATCAAAAAGTCCTCTCCCTTGCCGTTTTAATATTTCGCTTTGCATACCCGTACCACACTTCGATCGATGTCTTTTGACCTTCCCATCACCATAAGCTTCGGACTTATTGCTACGTCTGTCCCTAAATTCCATTACTTCTTGGATTCGACGATGGCTGCACTAGGGTGCTCTCCTTTCCCATTACTTGAGTTGCACGTCCTTATGTAGGCTTTTTACTCGACGTTTTGGCATCGTAGCTATTGTTAACCATCTTTATCCGTCCATTGATTTCTCTCATCCTTTTTTCCAGTCCATCCCTTTGTTATCTAGTCCTCAGCGCTTACAACTACCGGCAGATATCGCGATACGCATTTGCCCTTTCACTGGAATTCGCCCACAATATTTTGGCCTTCACAACTCCATGACAGCCGTTTACCTTATTTTGGTTGACGAATCCACTGCATTTAACAGACCCACAGCATTTCTTCACCAGTTAGGCGAGCATCCCTTGTTGTTGGCGATGCTTGTCTCCCTCGTTCCCACCTCGACTTCGATTTCGGGCGGCCAGCTCGATCGCATTCGCATTGACCATCAACTCGTTCGGTCCAGACTCGTCGGATGTTCTTCACAATTTCCAGACTTACGGTTTTGTGCATTCGTCGCTTTAGTCGACATTCTCACTGACTCGTCTTCGTGTGAGTTTTTTCGCACTATCTTGTTAACGTATCTAAGTTCTCAAGCCGATTCAATTGCCTATGCAACCAGCGTTGTTGTTCTGCAGACAGCGGCTTGCTTATTTATAAAATGCGCTTACTCCAAATTTACCGCGATTCGTGACTTTAGTGCCACTTTTGCCCCACCAGATCGCGCTTTTGGTGACACTGCCAATTTTCGAAAACTGATCTGGATGTATTTAATTCTCCTCTGGTATCTATGTATCCGAACTGCAGAGACCTAATGTTGCTCTACGCGATCGGGCTGCGGTAACACCAACCCACAAAGATGGGATGTTATCTGTAGGATTGCAAATAACGGTTGCCGCTGCCTCTTGGTTTGAAAGTTCTTCCCAATGTGCAACTGAGTGGATGGTACTGCTCACTTGGGATCCAAGCTAGGCTCTTGCTTTTTTGCTAATTTTTCGCCTCACCTTTCTCCGCGGTCTAGCTGCTTAATCTCTACTCCAACCGTATTCCCAATCTTGGCACGTAATCAAACAAGGCATTATATTAGATATTTCTTTTTCTTCTCGCTTGTTGGTTTTTTTCTTTTACAACCTGCTTGAGTCATATTACTGCACTATAGCTGGGGTGTTTCCACCACTAGCTAACCCACTGGTCGACGATGATGATGCAAATGACTACTCGGTTTCTGCAACATTGTTGCGTCTGTGACAATGTGAATCCCTGTGCTTAGTTGCCAGTGTACTAGGGTTTTTCTTCCTCCTCTTATCTAGCATGAGGTCCTGATTTATTCACATTAGTCCAGGCTGCAAACTTCCGGTTTAGAATCACTGGCATCAGTTAATGTGGCTGCTTATCGTGTTCACTCTGTGTGATTTTTTTCATTTCGGTGACCGGCTATCACAACGCAGTTGACTTAGTGGATTTTTAGAAAACTAACATCAACCCCAATAATGGATCTGCAAGGGTCGACTGACCCATTTACTAATCATTCGACTCTTCAGGGTCCCATTGACACTCATCAGAACGAGGCCCAAGTCATTCTTGAGGGTCATGAAACCGAGTTATATGGTCACATCTCACTGTGCTTGAAACAGGCCGCTGTGCAAAGCGTTGTTGGTTCCTCCACCAGATGGTCAATAGTCGTACCGCACACGATCAGTCAACCACGTGAAGCCGCTTACGTTCAACCGCCGTATCTCCTTATACTCTTGCTGACGCTTTGGGGATCTTGTTGATTAGTTCTTGTTGCCCACATTGCTTGAAATTGCCCGTTGTCATTTTACCGGTCACCTCGCATGCGCCATATTATTGCCAGCTTTATTTTCGTTGCAATTCTGTTTTGGTTACGAACAATTCTTACCATCGGTTGAACCCGTATCTCCTCTATTTCCCCCTCTTAGTTTTATCTTCGCGTCGATATTCTTTGTCCCTTTAACCGGTCTATATTTTCATCTTCACGTTGAGCTACATTGCATTTGTCTGCATAAGATAACCAAGCACCTACTAGATAATCGCATTTTTGTCTCGATACAAATGGACATTTATCGTTCCTCTTTTCTTTTGACACATCCTTTTCGTCTACTTCATTTGTGCATTTCTACGAGACTGAAGCATATAGCGCCCTGTCGCACCTTAAGTAGAGGAATCTCAATCTAGTTTTTCCCGTGGACCCCGCTGTGGCCGCCTTTTGAGCTAGACGATGATTAACGCACATCTGGTGTAAAATCTACTTCGCCTAACTCGTTACATCTTAAGGGCCGCGATTGGATTTTACACGAATAAATTGTTTCCACTATTTGATATTTTTAGTGCCTTTCTCCTGTTATCGCCATTCTTCGGGTTTCCACTTCCCAAGCGTTTTTCGTGACTGATGTTATATATGACACTTTTTTCAATTACTGTTCCTCGCCGCCTCTCAAACGCATATGACCGTCATACAGGTACTTATCTGCTGATTTGTTCTTTTGATTCTTTGGGGAATTTTCGGACTGCACCACTTCACCTCGCTCTGTCCTTACTTTGCAGCCGGATACACTCATCTTAACTGCATTTTGCATCAACGTCTGCATTATCTTCCCGGGCTCGTTCTCCACCTTGGCCGCTCCGACTGATCTCACTCCCTCCCCATCCTCGAACACGTCAAATGTGCGCTCGTTTTTTCGTTTTATCTTCTCTGCACGACTGCAATTTCCATGACATGTCATATTTTTATCCCGTTCGTTTATTTTGCGACTTTTTTCACCTGTTCTAGTCCACTTATTACTTAATGTTTCCTTTTCTTTTGATACACCGCTAAACGTTGTTATCTCTGGAGTATATGCGCGGGGTCGTATGCCCCACCTGGTTCCTTCATGTCATGTGCAATAAACCTATTTTACGAACTTTCTCTTGTAGCATTTTACTCTGCTATTGGAAGACATGCGATCAAGTGAAACTGTACTCATGGCACCCTTGCATCTGGGATGCACTTGTAGGAGGCGCATTCGCGACCCTTATCGCTAGTTTATGGTTTTAAAACCGGCTAATTTGCTAGGTTAAATAAACGCCAAAATGGAAATGTGACTGGACATGACCGAAGTTGAGGTGGCTTCTTCAAGGTCACTGAGTGACAGTTACTTTGATCTGTATCTCTTGTGAGATCGTAGCGGCTAACGCCTAGTTGACAGGATTTATTGGTAAAACCCCTCGTTCATCACGTATCACCCGTAATAGTAGGGGGACCTTTCAGTACAACTTATCGCTTGTCGTATCACGCGTCACAGTTGTCTACGAACTCCTTTGACCAATTGAGCCACACTGCATGGTGCCATCAGTTATCTTGAGAAGTAGTCCAGAGATCAAAGGTGGCGCAGTAGTCAAGCTGTTTGGTTGCAATCAATGTTTTCCGAGCTCGAAATCCGCTGCTTTTTGAAGTATTTTAACCCACCTGCCACCGCTTGCGGTATCATGGCGACTGACAAGTTTCACTCTTCCTTTGACAGTTCACAAACTCATCCTTCAGGTCCGGGGTTGTTGCTGAGGCGTCACCCATTTCTGTGAAAGGGGTTCATTTTTTCACGCGGTAAGAATGTTTCTCCAACAGTTTTTACGGGACTCTATTCGTTTTTCCACCTACATTTGAACGCCCTGATAACATCCATGATTTCAACCATACTCCAGCCTTCGCGCATTTTTCAGGGGTATTTGCTGCACACAGTTTATTGCGGACTCCTTCCACCCGTTCTCTCACGATCCCCATGACCTTTCTCTAACCACCGGTGTAAGCGTTTCGCCGTTTACAGCTTTACTTAAACTTTAACCCCCCACTTCCTATTGCCACAGTTTCGGGTAGTCCCTGGCGACGTCAATCGTTTTGGGCTATGCCTTGCTCCATCGAAATGCAAAGTACTTTCTCCAGGATTGGCAGGGACCCAACCCTCCGCTAACGCTTGGTGGTGATCTGCTAGAAGTCGTTCAGGAATTCAAGTACCTGGGCAGCTATATTAACACCCGTGGGATTGAACATGAGGTTAGGAACCGTATAGCAGAAGCTCGAGGTGCTTTTGCCAATCTCCGCCACCTGTGGCGCAGACGCGACGTTACTCTCGCCCTGAAGGGCAGACTTTACAACACAGCCGTCCGTTCAACTCTCCTATATGGCTGTGAAACCTGGCCCATCAGGTCGACAGACATGAAGGGGCTCGTCACATTCGATCATCGCTGCCTTCGCAGCTTAGCTCATGTCTGGTGGGAACAACGCGTGAGCAATGAGCGTGTTCGACGTCGCGTATTTGGGGCAGGAAGAGCGAGTGAACCGCTCAGCACCATTATATCACGCACCAGGCTCCGATGGCTGGGCCACGTGTTGCGCATGCCAGCACACCGACTCCCGCGACGTGCATTGTTTGCGCGTTGTGGGTGCGGTTGAAAGAGGAGGAGGGGAGACCAAGTGATGACTTGGTCGAGAGAAATGGAAACCCTCACTTCGAAGTTGGCGTCGGTTGGTGCATCCCGACTGCCTGGCTGGGGTCCTAAGGACGGTGAACACGTTTGGTTGGACACACTTGCTGATATGGCTTGGAGCCGACCCCAATGGCGTTTGTGTTGTGAGTTCCTTTGTCCATCCCCCTCCTGTTTAGCATCCCCCTCCAATCACGATCTCAATTGTTAGGCATAATATGACTCTACGGCAGCCAGCTGTTAGCTCTCCGGGACGATGTCCATCCGTTACTGGGGACTCAGCGGGCGTGTCACTGTTTGTTTTTCTTTTCTTGTGTTTTGTATTGCGGCACAATAACCGAGGTGTTTTCCACCTCCAGCTAACGTGTAATGATAATGATGAGTCCCTGGCGACCAAATACCCTCCGTTACGTCACGCTACCTGGCATTTTTGGTGATATCTATCACCGATGCTCTGGAACAAGCTAGTCAACAAAGTTCACTTGCCCGCGCACTGCACACTAGAGGTCGGCGTTCTCCACGTGTCAAAAACTAATTTTCATGGCCCTCATGCGGTTACCGATCCAAACAATATTATTTACACACTTCCCTAAATAATAAGAAACCACAAGTTAGACTTGATTTGGCATAGTTTTCAACTCCATAACTGAGCCGCCACCGATCAAGTGATTCCCTATCTACAGTCTTTTCTCGCAGGCGGGGCCTTCAAATTGGCCGTTGCTTTTCTCATTGGAGATCCTTTTTACTCTAGCTACTGCGGATTTATCCAATTCACAAGTCACTTTGCTATTTTGTTTACCTGAACTATTTTTTGACCTCGATGTTGTCCTGTTCCGTCAAGATTTTTGGAATTTCTCCGCGATTCTGCTCCCTATCCGCGTATTATACAATATGCTCGCAAAGTACGCAACACTTTTAAACTAGTTATGCGGAAGCATTCTTGTAAATTAAGAAAACCCCGTACTGGCCAGCTTTAGACGTCGCTCAGTTGACAAGACACACATTCCACTGATCTTGTTCAGCAATATTCGATCACTTCTTGAAAAAATTGGCGGATCTTACGGCTCTTATACAACAAATTGAATATTCAAATGCGGCGATTTTGATGCTCCAAGGAAGCTGGTTACCTGCTGATGTAAAAGACAATGTTATTCAACTTGCTGGTTATCTTCCCATCAGATCCGACCGCCCTGGAATGCCTCAAAATCGTGGAGGGGGTGTCATCACCTACGTCCATCAACGCTGGTGTAACTCGTCATCCATATTTTTACCTACTCAACCGTCGCAATCAGCTGACATTTGCTTGAATATAAGCCAAAATTTTGAGTGGTGTTATTTCTGTCATGATTGGAACTGTATACGTATCGACTGACACACAAGCATCAGAGTTGAAGACTTTTGCGTGTGATCTATCCTCGGCTCAGTTTGTGTCATCTCCGAGGAATACAATAAAATTGATACTTCCTTCATCCAGGCACTTGATTTGACTAATATAGTGGCCTTTCCGACCAGACTCGAAGCGCAACTAGATTTCGTCTTCACCAATCATGGTGTGTTTTCCGCACAGAAACTTACCCCACTCGATAATTCCGATCATTGTGTCGTATAAGTGTGCCCCGTCGTTTATGGTAGGTCTCACTCCGGTTCATTGGCTAATAAGCCCTTCAAAACTGTGAAGCGATGAGGTTGTTCATCCTCAAATATTGCTAGTCTCCAAGACATGCTGACTTCTACTAATTTTACAGTTTACAACAACGTCGATTTGCCTATTCAGTGTGGTCATTTCACTGCTAATAACTTTTGCTTAGCTCTTAGCAGCTCGGTCGAAACCATCTACTTAAGAGTTGATAGGTTCTCCTCATTATCACACAAACCACTTAGAAGGAAAAATAGCACGGCCTACAAATGCAAACTGACTGCCCGTGCTAAAGAACTCACTCTGACAATCAAAACTGAGGTTTCAAGATTGCATAATTTCTACATCGAAACCGTTTTGTGCAACCACAACTGCCGAGACCTATGGAAACTTTTAAAGCAGCTATGCTGTAGAAGCTCCGATAAGCAGATCGGATCTGTGGATGTAGAAAATCAATTCTGAGTTCTGTTCCACTTCACAAATAGCATCAACTCTTCATTCGCCAGGCCTTTGTTCTCTGGTTCAAAAATTACATTCCAACACGTTGAAGTCAACTGTGAACTCAGGAATTTGAACTCAAGGAAGGCTAGTGGGCTCGATGCTCTTTCACCAGTTGTCTTGAAAGAGTGTGCTGAAACCCTCAATCTGCTCTTGACGGATGTTTTTAATCGGTGCCTACAAAGTGAAATTATTCCCTTTATTTGGAGGCCTGTCAGGATAACGCCCGTGCCGAAGAAGAAATCCATGAAATTCCGTCAGATCGCCTGTACATACGTCATACTGAAAGTCTTCGAACGACTACTTGTGTCTTGGATCGCAACAATCACTCCAACCGTGGACGTCTCTCAGTTTGCATACAGATCCCGACGTTCCACGTTGGATGCCCTGGAATATCTTGTTCACTCTTTAGCATTTTCATTGGATGCGAAATGCAAAAATGTGCGTCTCCTCTTCCTTGATTACGTCAACGCTTGGCTGTCGACAAATCAATCTTGTATTACTAATAAGTAGGCGGACTTTAATCTTCATGTTTTCCTCCCAGTAGCTCACAAGCTACCTCGTACATCTTAGTCCGGAAAGCACCAGACGCGTTTCCCCCTACTGGGGCTCATCAGTGGGAATGGACACCACTGACGAGCCCAATAAAGAGAAACGCGCCTGGTGTTTTTCCGGACTAAGCTGTGCGCCGCAGATTCAGAAAGGCAATTCTGGTTTCTGCGATGCGTGAACTGACTTCAGTTGCTATGCACCCATCCTTGCGGATACAGCTGCCAAGGTGAGTGCATTGACCAACTACCTCGAGTTCCTCACCATCAAGGATCATTAGGTCAAGTGGTTTGTGGTCTTGTAACAATACTGCACTTTAAAGATACGAAGCGCAAAGCAAATAACGGGACCACTCTAGAGAGGCTACTCCGGGTTGTTTGCCTCGCCACGCCGTCGTTAAAACAGCAAGACGATATCGTCCGCTTAATCGATATAAACTAGCATTTCACCCAGCAACACCTCAAAGCCTACATCTTGAGATCCCGTGAGGGAACACTCCCTCATGGAGTCCGCGACGAAATTGAACAAAAATGGGAAATTGGACAACCCTGACG